TAAGGAGTATCAAATTTCGCAAACTTGTAGTTTATACAGAGAAGGCATGTACAATGCTAATATTGTTTTAAAATGCATAAAAAATACATTAAATCAAAATCAAAGGGATTCTTGGCTGGTGTGGTAATTACAATAACATACCAATATTCTCCTCCTACAGCGCAGGACCGATCGTCGTGGAGATCTTTAGGGGAGGCCTATGTCCAGTAGTGGACATCTTCCGGGCTGCGATGATGATGATGATGATTCTCCTTCTACAATGATCTGTTACGGGACGATGGGAGAATTCCCATCTAAAATTACATTTAATTTATTTATTCATTTAATTTGAATATCCACCCATATTATGTTAGTAAGCGACTTATAAACTATATTTATTTTTGTTTATTACTTGCGCCTTTTCATATTTTTATTTCTCTATCTACCCAAAGGTAGTCTGGAAGAGATTGCTAAGCAATAATATCACCTTTTGTATCAGTCAATGTATATTTTCTATTTTAAATGTTTTTTTTGTTCTGTAATTTGGTGTGGTACAATAAAGAGTATAAATAAATAAAAATAAAATAAATAAATAAGTAAATTAGAATGTATATGCTTATTATTCTAATTCATATATTTAAGCCCACGTACAGAAGCACTGTCCGCAGTAGTCCAATGATGTACAGTGCCTCTGGAGCGGATAATCAAACATATTTGCTATAATGTTTTGAAGAAGGAATTTGTATCTATAAAGTTTATTTGCCACAGATATTTATAATTCTCATCTGTGGTAAGAATTTTTTCTTCAAATGTTTTATCGATATATGCATATCGTTTCCATCTCTACATAGTGCGTAGGCATGTATCGTGTGTCGCCGACCTATAATGTTATCTCTTTCGTCTCGAGCATTAACACGTCCAACCTCATTAGAATGCCCATTATTTTATTAACTAACAAAAACGCATACAACTTTAGATCTTACTATTCAATTTTAAAATTCAAAATCAATTACAATCCAGACAGGCATAGAAATTCACTCAACAGGGAATCAGGCGATTGTCACTGTGTCAAAGGAGTTACACACTTTTGTCAATGTGTTTGTTTTTATCTATGCGATTTTTGTTCATGTTTTTTTTGAGAGAGAAAGAGTCTTGATTGATTGATCTATCAATGCAACAATACAGATATACATGTCTATGAGAAAGGCTATGATTGAGGGGACTGTATCTGTCTGTCAGTGCGTTTGTGCGCGCTAATCTCAGAAACGGCTTAACCAATTTGGGTATGGTTTTCATTTTATTGTGTTGTATTTATGATCATCCACTGGTGTACCTTAACGCAATCGTGAGCACCATCAATATCTATGCGGTGATCTAGCGGTTTAACATACCGCTTTACTTCCTATGGTCACGAGTTCGATCTATGAGTTTTTCTGAGATCGCTCTTTTTTCTATATACTTATATATATATATGTATTATTTGTGTACTACAATGTGTATGGAACATTAAGTAGTAGGTATGTTTGTTGGGTCTGGTCTGGCTTGGTATGTGTTACACACATCCTTCTTTACTTTACATATAGTTACATTGTTTATTTGATAAGGTCCTGAGGGATATTGCGTTTTAGTTTGCGACTAAAATGGCTCACTTTCATCAATGTCCAAGCTGTTGGTATGATTTTTCATTCTTTCGTCGTATAATTTGGTTTGTTTCAATACCTATATTATGTATTTATTTACAATAAAACTATATTTGTATCTACTATCTAGTATCCATAATACAGGCTCCATCAACAAGCTCAGAGTCACTCAGAGGGTAATGGAGAGGGCTATGCTCGGAGTTACTCTGCGTGATCGAATCAGAAATGAGGAGATCCGCAGAAGAACCAGAGTGACCGACATAGCCCGAAGAATTGCGACTCTGAAGTGGCAATGGGCAGGGCACATAGCTCGTAGGACAGATGGCCGTTGGGGCAGTAAAGTCCTCGAGTGGCGACCACGGACCGGAAGACGCAGCGTGGGAAGGCCTCCAGCAAGGTGGACCGACGATCTGGTCAAGATCGCTGGAAGGCATTGGATGCGCAGGACCGATCGTCGTGGAGATCTTTGGGGGAGGCCTATGTCCAGCAGTGGACGTCTTCCTGGCTGCGATGATGATGATGCTGAATACAAGCTCTACTTAGCTTGCGACTAGATGGCACGGTGTACATTGTCCGTAGAAAAAAAATTATAAATCCACCACAATGGGACAACATTTATCTTAATCAAAGTCGATGAAATTTTGTACAAAGATCATTTTTAGTTTCTGAAGTGAACAGATTTTTCTATATTAACTAATTAATTAGTTATTGTATTAATCATAGTAACATGTTATGTATGGAGGGGGTTATGGGATGTCCCTTACCTCTCTGTCTCTCCAATTTAATTCAGCACAATGCAGACGGTGTCAAGTCCCAAGCTAAGCACAGCCTGTGTTATGGATACGAGACAATTTATACAAAATACAATTAACTTATACGTAATAGCAGCCATAAGAGAAATCACATAGACTATTATGAGAGCCATAACTTGTTAGTTCCTTATACGACAAAAAAAATCTGTTGTTCTTAATGCAACAACAGATTTTTTTGTTGTAGGTATAAGGTGCTAATAAGTTAGGGCTCTCATAAAAGTCTATGTGATTAATTCTTATCTATAGACTCTTATCCAGCTAACGAGTGATTTTTTTATAGATGATAATAGAATGGTGCACCCGTCTGCGCTAACGGTTTACACTGGCGGTGCATCAGTGGAGGATAATAAGATGAACATAAGATCAGGTCAGTCAGACCATTGTGAGAAATTCACCAGGAAATTATCATGATGGTTTCCAGGGAGACCCGCGTGGAGGTCAACCTGACATGGCACATTGCTAGCAATATGGTCATGGGTCATGAGTCCATATTACCACAGATAACATAATATTACATATATTACTAACAATCTTCCCACCAGCTAACGAGTGTTAGACCCTATACAACAATAAAATGTATCTGTTGTTGCATTAAGACATCTAGAGAGTGGACAATCGTGTAACTGCGTGCAAGTAAGTTGTCAAGTGACCATGTCACCATCATAAATCATTACCAATCTTTGATCATGTAGCTATTATGGTCAATGAATGAAGTAGCTACGTAAATGTTATACAGAATACTAGCGCTGCGATTTATATGTAACTTTATGCTTAGTTGGTTGTCGTACATAATAAAAAAACCCAGCAAAAAAAGCTGAGAAAACAAAATATATCAAGAATAATAGAAAATAATAATAATAAGCTAAGAAAATGCGACAATAATGTAAATAATAATAATCTCTGTAATATAATAATCTATGTAAATAATAATAAGGAAAAAATGAATTCTTGATTTCAGATAATAATCTGAAATCAAGAATTCATTTTTTCCTCTGTGCAGTATTTCAAATTGTCCTGAATACAGACTATCGTAATCAAAGAGTTTTAATAAATATGTATGGATACAAAATAAAATTGCATTTCGTCTAAGAACTTTGATGAAACTTTGACAAAGACGGTAGAAATCCTCACATTCAGTCTCTTTGACATGCAAATATTTCTTTTATATAGGTATTAGTTATTGTCATAGTTAAGGATTTAATTTTATCTAATAAATAACGTATTACTACTATGTACGTAGATATACTTATATGTATGTATCTATAGTAAAATCATTTTACATATTAAATAATTTAAGCAATTTAAAAACGTTTATCAGTCACTTAATTAGTTTGTCTTTGAACCAAGACAAACGGAGAACGGTAACTAAAATAGGTAATTTATTATACTTAGATTTTTATTTTATTCTCATTTAATCCAATTATATTACCCTTTTAAAATAACAGTTTAAACACTATGATCCATGTAAGTAAACGTTACTCGTATAATGAAACGGTTAGGATCTTACAATTATGATGGTAATTACTTCAATCGATAGATAAATTTATGAGTAAGTAGGTATAAATAGGTAGGATATGTATCCTACCTACCTATTTATATATTCAAAATATATGTTACGAGGCGGCAACAGCAACGATACAGAAATACTTTTAATTACTTCTTTCACTTATATGTACATTTTAACAATAGAAATAAGAAATATTTATTGCTGTCAATGAAATCACGTAAAAGACGATATATATATCAAACAGTATAAAAAGCTGAACTAAAAAAGAAACTCTTTTACTTCTAGATAGAGTACATAATGGAGATATCTACTTAAGAATAGAAACATCTGTCAACTAAGAACATAAGAATAAAAAAAACTGTTCACACGTTCAAATCGATTTACGTCAGGGGGATAAATTAAGGCATTCAACGTAAACGGACAAGCGGGGACCATTCGCACAGCGTACAGTAAATAAAAAAAAACATCCGTTGCCCGCATCCAGCCTCCAAGATTCGCACTATTATCTCACCGCAGCCAATGCTGAATGGTGAAAACAGACGTCCGATCCTATTGGCCGACGTAACCCCGAAGCTCCACCTTAAATAACCCCGCCCATTGCAGACAAAAAGTTCTCGGAAACGCGCCCCATCTCCCAACAGTCCATCAAAATTCAGTTTCAACTGATCCGCCAAAGATGTTTCATATTATCATACACTGTGACGATTTTCCATTTGAAAATAACATTATAGCCTTATCTGATCTATATCACTGAAACTTTAAAGATAAACCCGTCTTTGTCGGTCGTGTGCGGCGTGAATGTGTCGGACAGAGATAGAGAAATCAAGTTCTAGGTGTGGTTAAGAAAAATTAAGGCGAGCGTGTACGGCCACGATCAGTGTTGGTCGGCACACCTGACGTGCGGTCGCGCGGTATTATCGCGGCATTAACCCGTTTAAAATTCGAACTCACCGAATTCCGGGACGCCAATAGTCGCCGCGCGCGCGTTCCACGAGCAACCGTAGTGATGTGTGTGATTTGAAACGGTTGTCGATATCGATAGACAGGTTGATTGTGACAAACATGATGACTATGGACGTCGGGATGTACAACAACCAGCAGAACGGGTATGGAAGCGCGGAATACTACCAGCAGGGCGCCACTTACCAACAGCCTTACGAGACCTATGAAAGCTATTACGAGCCCTCCTCCCATTTCTACGAGTTACACGGGCAGCAGCCACATGACCACCCGACCCCGGTTATAAGCACAGAGGCGGGATTGTGCTATACGAATTTGGATTATGGGGAGCTTCAACCCAACTACCCATTACATACGTTGCCTCCTCATCCAGAACCATTTAAACACAGAGAAGATGTTCCAAGACCAGAGGAGATGCATATGCATGAGCACAAATTAGACAATCATTACTTGGAGACAAAATATAACATGCATTTTGTGGATGAGTCAGCGATACAGTATACGAGTTCGCCTCTTCCGTGTGCGGAATTCGAACATTATCAGCCAAAAGATGAGTTTGGGGGTTTGAGAGAGGGTTTCCCACGGGAAGGGGAATGTGTGGGCACGCACAGCCATATTCCCGGGACACACCAGCAGCACCCATCGCACTCGGCTGTACCTACTTACAAATGGATGCAAGTGAAGAGGAATGTTCCTAAACCTACAGGTAAGTTCCGCAAAATTTCATTTAGAGAGACCTAATTATACCTAATAACCTAAAATAGCAAATATAGATATTATTTGTATGCCTATCGGATCTAATATTGCAATTTTCATATTTTTTGACTAATTTGAAATATAGTTTCAACCTACGTTAGCGAAGGTACGTAGGACGATGATGATTACGGTAACGAATTGATAAGGAATTAGGCACTATCGTTTCCAAGAGGACTCTATGAAGATCGTTCTGAAATTTGCTCGTGTTGTTAATGATAGGGCTAAACATATTATTCACAATGGGGCAAACTTCAGGACGATGTCCATTGTAAATTGTCTAGTTTGTTGACTTACTAAGCAAATACATTTCCTTAGTGTATTTTGATAGTAAAATCGTAATATTTTAAGTAATATGGAATGTTGCTTCAACTTGCGTTAATAGAATATGCTGGCAGAGTACCAGCGGATTCAGATAGAATGTGGATGAGGTTAGGTCAGTTGTAATTGTTAGTTTTGATGAAGAACTAAGCACAATCGTTTCCAAGAGAACCGTAAGATCATTCCGAAATTTGACTCCATTGTATCTCACTGAGATATTTCGATAGTAAAATCATATTTTTTTAATTAATATGAAATGTTGTTTCAACCGACTTTAATAGAATATGCTGGCAGAGTATCAGCGGATGCAGATAGAATGAGGTCGAAGTTAGGTCAGTTGTAATTGTTAGTTTTGATGAAGAACTAAGCACAATCGTTTCCAAGAGAACCATATGGAGATCATCCTGAAATTTGCGGTATATTTAACGATAGGGTTAGGGATATGCATGTTACTTAGCAGGTCAACAACCTAGACGATTTGAAATGAATGATTTAATATCTGCAATTTGTAATGTTTCCTTAAGTCGGATTATGGATAATAAAATTTAATAAAACATTTAGATATTAAACGAAGCAGACAATACTCATACGTCAGATATTATACAATTAGTTCAAAAAGAAACTTTATGTCAATATGATTAGATTGAATTTAATCCAAACGAGGTACTACATTATCTGCTCACTTTAGTCTACTGCTGGATGGTACTCAAAGCCTGTCCTTGATTTCTTTTATATTGAAAGCCACATCATAAATGTATTTCTCTTTTATTAAAGTATACTATAACTGGTGAATCTTTTCTTGAAATATCACAAAGCAATAAGACCTTTGAGGAACCAATGTAGAAGGAAAAAACATCTGTAGCAAGGATTCTCTTGCACAGATGTCACTGCCTATAAATTAATATTACAAAAACCACAAATATCATTATTATAATATTTATCCTGAAGTTCAGTATTGATTAAATGCATGAAGTGACCTACCTAGTAGATCTTGAACCTTGAATAATACATACGAGTTTAACCGATATATGTATATTTAAAATAAATGTATTGGTTTATTACGAAATAAATTATTTAAATGATTAAGTACTAACATTCATATAGGTCATATCACGCAGCGTCGTTTATGTTATACCACTGATCCAAATACTTCGTTATCTTAGACCCAAACCGATACAAATAATTATACTCTTGAAAGAAACGAGGATTGAACCAGCGACTATCGAAACCAACGCGGTATGCCAAAACGCTAGGCCACCGAGCAGTTAAAGTTAACAGAATACAATATCTTGAGAGAACATCGCGAAAGAAATGTTACGTCATAAAAGTAAGTAAATTTTTTTGTAAACCAAACGTAGACTATACCTACATATTTGTAATTTATTAATAAGTTTGATTCCAATTTATGATATAAGGAAAACCTTATCGATAGTATTAAGATAAATTTAATAGCTCTGAAATAAAATTGGTATTAATACGCAGTGATTATGAATGAATATTGTACAAAATAATATTATCAAAATACCTAATATATGAAATAATCACAATAATTGCTCCTTAAAAGCTATATCTTATTTTATCAAATCTTACTGCGATGCTCGCTGTAAGATTCTAAAGAAAAATCCAATATAATAATATATAATAATACCCCTAGACAATCTCTCCCGTCCAATTCAAACGGGGATCGAAATTACGACGGCCTGAGCGGCGTCTGGAACTCCTAGCGGTGCCCTCAGGCTAAAAACCTCAGGCAGGAATTGGCTTTGAGCCGCTCAATAAGTCCTTCCGCGGGTTTGGAGTGTCATCTGCACTCTCGGCCTATCGCAAGATGAAGGCCAGCTACGGCCAACAGCATTAGAAACGTTCGGAAAAGTGATATATTATGAAATTCCTACTGGACTTCCTTTTTTTAAATTGATGCATCTGATGCTAAATTATGGCAAGGCCTAGGTTGTAGCGCGCTTACACAGAAGAAATCTATTCATCATAGACTTGAAGAATCCGGGGTTGTATTTCTCCGGGAACACGAAAGCTGGAAGTGTTTTCCACTCTGGCAGCACGTATTAGAAAGGACGACACGAACAGCTCAGTATCTTGAACTCCACATTAATAGTCAATCAGGACAAACGAGTTTATAATTAAATAATATCTTACTAACGTAACAAAATAAACAGCATGTAAACATTAAGTAATATAATTAAATTATTTAACCAATCAACTGATTAGTCTTGCAACGGAAAACGGTAGGCCATCCACTAGTGATGTCAGTTTATCGAGTCCATACCAACTCGAGCTACGACGCGAGCTGTCACATCGGCTAGACAACATTAGACAAGTCGAGTCAAGGGTTGTGACACGAGGTCCACGCCACTCACTCCGACACCCGACTGACGCGTCGGGCAAATAATTTGACATAACATCTACAGCCCGCTGCGTACAAGTGTGTACGAATACGAATTAATTGACGGCCGAGACGTAACAATGTTATAAGAAGAGATAGTATTCACTTGTGTTTGGCTAATAGACGAGTTTTTTAATAACTCGTCAGGCTTGGAATTTTTAATCACAATTCAAAACAAAATAGCTGCTGTAATTTTTCATTTAAGTTTACTGCTATGGAGTTCGAAGAACGGAGTATGTGAAAATATTATTATTTCTTTTAAGCGTTTATTATTTCTCTGGGTACTTCTATTTGAAATGCTAATGTTTATAAGTACCTTAAAGTTACAATAAATGACTTCTCTGCGGGGTCAAATAAAGTACTTAGTTTGTACTTACGTTTCTAAAACATACAGATATTAGATAGTTGAAATGAATTCTAGGGATATACAAGTTTTCTACGATAATATCTATCTTAGACAACTTCGCTATCTAGGTTTCATGTTCAACTAATGTCCGCTGTATAGAGTATTATAGTTCACTACGTTAGCACATTTGTTTTATCGATACATCGATAAAAAATATTGCAAACCCTATAAAAAGCAAATATAAAACTATCAAAGAATGTATATATATTTTTTTAAATATTTATTCTTGAAATGCTACCTAACATTCTACTATAAATTATATCTACTTAGCATTCAAAATGTCAATTTAAACCTTTCGGTTGTAAATTTTTTCCTGCGAAAATGTTTGCGTATACAATTAGTTTTTTTCTATAAAAATTAAACAATTATATACGACAACGGATTCTAAGTTGCTAACAGTTTTTATTTACGACTAGCAGTTCCACGCGACTTCGTCCGCGTGGAATTAAACTTTCATATTCTAAAATAAAAGTGGCCTAAAAAACGGTTATTTCAATATTACAAACAGACTCTCCAATTTTATTTACATGTATAGATATTATTATTAAATATCTATGTTGCATGCATGCATGCATGCATATCTATAATGCATGAAGCTTCGTAGAACTCGGTACGGCATCGGCATACGCTATGCGAAGACTTATTTAGTCCACAATTAATCATCCAAATTATAATTCTATTATTTATGTTCTATATTTTATCTAGTAGATATATTTTCTTCTTTCTTCTTCTTCTCCTATCAATAGTATCTTCTACTAAGAGTAGTAAAACCAATAATAATAATAATAATCTCAGGACAATTCACACAGCACTATCTAGACCCAAGTTAAGCTAAAGCTTGTGTTATGGGCACTAGACAACTGATACAAATACATAGATTTTTTTTGTAAATATGTACATAATATACATAGAAAACACCAAGACTGATACAAACAATCATACTCATAAATATAAATGTTAAATAGTAAGAAAAACTAATATTTCATCATCGTTTCATCTTTAAAATATTACATGCTTTATAGAAGGTAATCATGTGAGGTAAATAACAACACTTGGCAGTCATTTTCTATATTTATTTATTATTTTATTTTTATTTATAACTCTTTATTGCACCTTAAAAACAATCCAAAAAAAAACAATATTCATAATGTACAGAAAGGTAGGCTAGGCACAAAAGGCGGTCTTATCGCTAAAGCGATTTCTTCCAGACAACATTTGGGTAGAGGAGAAAAGACAGAAGGTGGTGGATGGCGCAAGATAGAATGAATGGACATGAGTAATAATAGTAATATGTCATATATACACACATAACATAAATAAATATACATACATTATACATAATATAAATATAAATATAAAATTAAAAAAGTAAATTAGTAATAATACACAGTAACTAAGCAATGTGCAAATAAGAAAGAGACAATTTAGAGAAAGGAAAGGATAGTAGAAAGACAATTTAATGAGAGAGATAGTGTGATTTTACAGCGTTTACGTTAACCTTGAACTTGAACTTCAGAATTAACATTGTAGCAAACTATAACAATTGGTACATACATACATACATCACCATTTTTTTTTAATTTATTGTTTACAATTTATAATTTTAAAACGATTAAAAGGTAAAAACTATATTTTTTATTTAGGTACAGTCTTAAGTTTTAAAACTTTTTGATATATAAATATTTTTGTAAATACATAAATCTTATTAATATTATAAACGCGCAAGTTTGCGAGTATGGATGGATGTTTGTTACTCTTTCACGCAAAAATTACTGAACGGATTTTGATAAAACTTTACAGCAATATAGCTTATACATCAGAATAACATATAGGCTATAAATTTCATGCAGGTGAAACGGGTACAGGTAGTATAAATAAATAATCTCAAAAAAAAATCACACAGCACATTCTAAACACTAATTAAACTAACTAAAGCTTGTGTTATGGGTACTAGATAACTGATATGTATGTATTTACAAATATATATATAGAATAGAATAGAATAGAATAGAATAGAAAATCATTTATTCAAATAAACTTACATTGAAGCACTTTTGAATAGTCATTACATTTTTTAATCTACCGCTCGTTCGGAAAGCTGTCTCATCACAAGAAGAACGAGCAAGAAACTTGCGTGTTGCTCTTTTAAATAATTTTATTATTACTTTACATTTTTAAGTTTAAGTGTGTGAATACAAACCACCAATTAGCACTAATTCAATTAAATACTCAAATAGAAAAAATATTGAATATATAACCAACTGGTTAAACAATTAATAAGAGGAAATCAGTCATAGTGATTAGAGCAGACCAGTCCCTACAAGCAGCACCCGTTCACGAGTATGACGGATGAGCAGCCAGCCATCACTGCGCTCGACCATATTTTAGGGAGCCCAATGACCCGGCCCACCACGCCGCCACAAGTCTGGACATTTTAGTGAGCATGACTACTCAAAACACTAGACTACGTCAAAGCTACTTACAATTGCCATCTGATAGTTATAGTATTCACATTTTACATAAGAATGCATGCGGCAATCAATACAAAAACCGCTACGCTTTCATATTTCTAAAATCAATCAATTAAATCAAGAAAGCAATGAGAAAATTAAATTATAACGTTGTATGCTAATAAACTAATTATTTACTTGATATGTTGTCGTCTATGAATTCGTCTATCCTGTAATATATATATATTTCGTAAATACATATATATGTAGGATTTGAAACTTGGCGGTATGAACGAATGGGAACGAATGAGTATGAATGAATGGAAACAGAGGAGCAAATGGATAGAAACGAAAGAGTGAATGGATGGAGAAAGGAATGAATGGAAAAAGAGGATGGGCATCGCTCTCTTCCTCGTAGACTGCCATATAGTTAGGTCGTTTCATGTATCATAGTAAATGTTTTTTTTTTGTAATTTAAATAAAAGGAGTTCTATAAAATAATCATCCTGTTATTCGCGAATCCTCATTCCCACAATTTTGGGGGCTCGTCCGGGATAGAGGATCAAAGATTACTTGGATGTTAACGGATTTTTATGGAAGACGGAAGTACCCGAATTGCGGCGCGGTACAGACGGTGACGCGGACGAAGAATACGAATGTCGAGGTGGACACGTCGTATTTAAAGATTATATTAAATTACAAAAAGAATGTCTAAAGACGAAAATAAGATGGAACGTGCATTTCGCGAGGCGGCGTGGCATCCAGTTGAAACTTTACCGGTATTCAACGGGACCGATAAGACTATAACGGCGGCGAGGTGGGCGCAGGAGATAGAAGAGAACGCGGAAATATTTGGTTGGAGTGCTACACAGCAATTAATTTTGGCGAGGAGATCGTTAGCCGGAAACGCATTACTATGGTTAAAGTCGGAGAAACCATTCAAAACTTATGACGACTTAAAATGTGCTATTATGAAGGAGTTTCCTGATAGCATAAATTTGAAAGAGCTGCACGAAATCTTATCCAACAGGAAAAAAAGGAAAAAACGAAAGTTGTTATGAATATATGCTGATAATGAAGGAGTTGGGCAAGCGCGGCAAGTTACCTGATTATTGTGTTATTCAGTACATAACAGACGGTATTATAGATGATGAGATAAACAAGGTCATGTTGTACGGGGTCACTACCTATGCCTCGTTAAAAGAAAAATTAGTGATATACGAATCCATGAAGAAAAAGATGTACGTAACTACAAGAGAAAGAAAACCCATAGTAACGAAAGAGCATTACAGAGACAGCAGAAAATGCTACAAATGTGGTGAAAATGGTCATATTGCGACAACATGTTCGAAAGGAGTTAAGTGTTACAAATGTCATTCATACGGCCATATTTCGTCGAACTGCAGAGCTGCATTTGTCGAAAGAAATTCAAATACGATTGGGAATGACAATAAGTGCATCTCAATCACTTCACCTACGACGGGAGCGGAAGACCGACCGGAACGACGATCAATGTGTGTGAACGGTGTGAACATAGACGCGAACATAGAAAATGGCGACGTGCGTAGTGGCAGCAATGTTGACAGTGGTGACAGATGTCATTCGCTCGGGAACTGTCAATTTGAAACCGTCATGAATACGAAGCGAAATAGTTCAATCAAAACATTGGAGATAAATGGCGTAATAATCGAATGTTTAATTGATTCGGGGAGTGACGTAAATCTGGTGTCGGCAGATGTATTTTTCGAACTAAATGTGAGTGCCTATAATAAAGAAAAGATAGTGTTGCACGGACTGGGATTGTCGACTGTTTACTCTATAGGAAAATTTCAAACAGTACTAAAAATTGATGATTGTTATTTTGAATTATTGTTTTATATTGTACCAACAAATGCAATGCCTTACAAAGTGATCCTAGGTCAACCATTTTTGGAAAATGCGGTAGTTATTTTCGATAAAGGTGTGGTAAATGTAGTTTCGAGGAATGTGCATTGTTTGTTTACAGATGACAAACCGGTTAGTTATGTACCAAATCCTCAGATTATGGAGACAGCTCAGCTTATAGTGGATCAATATAAGCCCTTACAAACCAAGGAGGCACCATTTGAAATGCAGATTATCCTGAACGACGATGTGCCGGTGGCACAGCGGCCGCGTAGACTAGCCTATAAGGAACAAGAAGCAGTTGATAAACAAATTGGTGAGTGGTTACAAAATGGTATTATTAAACCTAGCTTTTCAGAGTATGCAAGCCCATTAGTATTAGTTAGAAAAAAAGATGGTAGTATAAGAGTCTGTGTTGATTACCGTAAAATAAATAAAAAAATTGTTAGGGATGAGTTTCCTCTACCAATCATTGAAGATCATTTAGATAAACTTTCTGGATACACGGTTTTTAGTAAATTGGATCTCAAAGACGTTTTTTTTCATCTCAAAATAAATAGTAACTGTACAAAGTATACATCTTTTGTGACACAGAATGGTCAATATGAGTTTATGAGAGCACCTTTTGGTTTGTCCATATGTCCGAATTATTTCACACGTTTTATCACTATTATTTTCAGAGAGCTTATAGCAAAGGGGTTTCTATTAATTTTTATTGACGACTTAATAATATTATCAAACACATATGATGAAGCCATAGATCGACTTCGTGAAGTTTTAAAATTAGCTTCTGAATATGGATTACATATAAATTGGAGAAAAAGTGACTTATTGACTAAAAAGGTGGAATATCTTGGTTATGAAATTGAAAATGGAGAAATAAAACCGTGTAGAGACAAAGTTGAAGCAGTTTTAAAGTATCCGCAACCTAAGTCGGTAAAACAGATTCAAAGTTTCATTGGATTGACATCCTATTTTAGAAAATTTATTGAAGGGTATGCTTCTATAGCACGACCATTAACAGACTTATTAAAGAAGAATAATGATTTTATTTTCAGTGAAAAACAGGAAATTGCATTCAAATTGTTAAAGAAGTTGTTGTCTGAAAATCCAGTATTAAAATTATATAACCCAGGACTCGATACCGAATTGCATACAGATGCATCTATCATGGCTTATTCAGCAATATTATTTCAAAAGGATTCTAATGATGGGAGTTTACACCCTGTGTACTACCTAAGTCGTAAAACCTCAGATGCAGAGCAGAAATACACAAGTTATGAGCTGGAGGCATTAGCCATAATAGAGGGTGTTAAAAAATTCAGGAAATATTTACTTGGCATAAAATTTAAGATTGTTACTGATTGCTTAGCATTTGAAATGACATTAAAAAAGAAGGATTTATCAACTAGAGTTGCAAGATGGGTATTGTTATTACAAGAGTATGATTATGAGGTGGAGCATAGAAAAGGGAATCAGATGCGGCATGTTGATGCTCTTAGTCGCAATCCTTATGTTACTGTTGTTACCAGAGGGTTACATGATCAAATCAGGAGAGCACAGGAACTAGATGAGGGTATAAAGGCGATTTCAGATATAATTAAGGAGAGGCCTTACAAAGATTATTATGAACAGAATGGAATCATATACAAGGGTGATCAAGGACAAATACTTATTCCCAAGGGATTAGAAATGGAAATTATTAAAACAATTCACTCGAATGGTCATTTTGGCAAGAAAAAGATGTTAGAAATGTTAAATGTAGATTATTATATAAAAGATTTATCTTCTAAAATAGATAACTTCCTTGTAACCTGCGTACCATGTTTGTTGGCAACGAAGAAAGAAGGAAAACAAGAAGGTTTTCTTAATTCCATAGAGAAGGGCATTATCCCACTTAGTACATTGCATATTGATCACATAGGACCACTCTCAGAGACTTCAAAATTGTATAATTATATTTTAATAATTGTAGACGCATTTACAAAGTTTGTTTGGCTCTTTCCAGTGAAGACAACTACTACTAAGGAGACATTAAGTAAGTTACTTATTCATCAGAAGACTTTTGGAAACCCAGATCGAATTATATCAGATAGAGGAACGGCTTTTACTAGCAAGGAGTTTGATGACTATTGTAAAGATGAGAATATCCAACATATTGTTATCACCACTGGAGTACCCAGAGGAAATGGGCAGGTAGAAAGGATTCATCGTACTTTGGTGTCAGTCTTAACGAAACTGTGCATAGAGGATAAAAGTCAGTGGTATAAGCATGTGAGTAGAGTTCAAAGGGCTCTAAATAGTACTTATCAAAGAAGTATAGGAACCAGTCCTTATGAGTTAATGGTGGGTGTAAAAATGAAACAAAAAGAGGATTTAAATATTTTTAGTTTATTACTAGAAGAAAGTAGAGACGAATTTGTGACAAATAGAGAAGAAACGAGGGAACAGGCTAAGATACAAATTTTAAAAGTACAAGATGAAAATCGGCGAAATTATAACAAAAAACGCAAGGAAAGCCTTAAACATAATATTGGTGACTATGTAGTAATCAAGAGAACCCAATTTGGTACTAATATGAAATTAAAGCAAAGGTATTTAGGACCTTATAAAGTTGTTAAAGTCAATGGCAGAGACCGCTATGATGTACTGAAGGTCGATATTGCTTCTGAGGGACCTATGAGGACGTCCACTTCAGCAGACTATATGAAGAGGTGGCCAGAGGTTAGTTCTTGAAACTCATTTACTTACCAAATTATTGTAATTTTCAAATTAAGTTGATGGCTGACCTTGTGAGGCATTAGTATTAGCTTATGGTGAAGATAAAGGATTATTTGATTGTACCTATTTTAGTACTTAGTTTATATTGTATTTGATTATAGGAGTATAGGTACTGTACCAGTTGTATTTTTTTCTTTGTGTATTATTATTATTTTTTGTACTGTGTAATATGTTAAAGTTGTGTAACTATGTTATAAGAAGGGTCATGTTTTAATTTAAGGTGTTTAGTTGTATTTTCATTCTATATTTTGCTTTAGTGTGTAGTAGGTGTGTATGAAAAGAGTGTGTTAGAAGAATTGTAGAGTGAAAGACGGACCCTGAGGTCAGGCTCCAATGCAGGATGGCCGAGTTGTAGGATTTGAAACTTGGCGGTATGAACGAATGGGAACGAATGAGTATGAATGAATGGAAACAGAGGAGCAAATGGATAGAAACGAAAGAGTGAATGGATGGAGAAAGGAATGAATGGAAAAAGAGGATGGGCATCGCTCTCTTCCTCGTAGACTGCCATATAGTTAGGTCGTTTCATGTATCATAGTAAATGTTTTTTTTTTGTAATTTAAATAAAAGGAGTTCTATAAAATAATCATCCTGTTATTCGCGAATCCTCATTCCCACATATATATATATATATATTTGGAAATACATACATATTATACATATAAAAGATGCAGACCGATACGAACAATTATAATAATGAAGACAATTATTTCTACCGTGCAAGAATTCGAACCAGCGACTATTAGAAGTAAAGCGGTGTAAACCTCTAGACCACCGTGGTTGTCGACGTCTAATAGCGCAACTGTCGCTTTAACGGTTGTTAAAAAGAAGAAAAAGAAAAGATAAAGGGTATTTATAAATCGTTAGTGCCACATCCAACAATGTATAACTGAGACAAAATAAATATGATTAAACAGAAATACTTATTCATTTGGATATCTAGGCCATATCTACATGTAGGCCCTAAGCAGCCGACTTTGTTCACGTGGAATTTAACGTTATTTTTCTAAAATAAAAGTAGCCTAAGTTACTTCTTATCTTACCTTAGCTACCTGCCAATAAAAGTCCCGTCAAAATTGTTGCAGCCATTTCAGAGATTGGACGGCATAAACAGACAGCGCAACTATTTCTTTAAAAGTTATTGAAAAGAAAAAAAAGAAAAGATAAAGGGTATTTATAAATCGTTAGTGCCACATCCTATAATGTATAACTGAGACAAAATAAAAATATGATTAGCCGGAACAGACAGACAAACAGATAAAACTTATAAAAAATGTTATTTTGGTGTATGTACCGTATTTATGTTCACATGCATGTAGTAAAAACGGTTATTTCAATATTACAAACAGACACTGCAATTTTATTTATATGTATATGTATAGATTAATAAATTTGCTATTAATAAGTCGTGTTAGTAATGGACAGACAGACGTACTTACCAGATCGTGAGTGTAGATAACGCATGACGGCTGCACTCGGCCAGACTAGTTACTATCAATTTTCTATCGCAGAACATACAACTTTGTATTTAATTTCATCGTATTGCGATCCCTATTTGGCTTTATAATGTATTTAAAAATCTATACATATAAATAAAAATTCAGTGTCTGTTTGTAGTCAAAAATGTATATAAAGTTAAACAAAACAACAACGATGGTACATGCGTGACGTTCCAAATTTATATTTTATAATTTCATTTTTAAATGTATTATATGGCTATTTGCGATCGCAAACACATGGGTACTATCAGTTGGGCCGTATGCTTGTTTACTACCTACGTAGTATAAAAAGAACGTACATGACATTATCAATTGCTTCTTCTTTATCCCATCTATAGTATTTGTGGTCGGCGTAATATGTTTTTCTCTTCCATTCATCTCTGTTCGCAGTCATCTCGTTATTTACTCCCTTTCTTACCATATCATCTTTCACACAGTCCATCCATCTCTTTTTCGGCCTTCCTCTGCCCTTATAACCATCCACATTCATATGTAATGTCTCCTTACTTTCTTCAAAATATATAATTCCCAAATCGATACAAACAATTATAGGAAAGAATACAAATGTTTGTACTGTGCGAGGAATCGAATCTGCTACCATTTGAAGCAAAGCATGCTAAACCGCTAGTCCACCGATGCCGTGATATGCGTATTTGTGTTTATTTGTGTATTAAAATTTTATAATTGAGAGTAAACCAGTGGTAGTGAATTTTTTTTTCGGATTACTCCAATACTGTTGACCGCAGCTGGCCTTTACAGCTTCACAGGACGATAGGGGGCGAGTGCAGATGGCACTCCAAACCTGCAGAAGGACTTATAGAGCGGCTGAAGGCCAACTCCCGCCTGACGGATACTTTACTCTGAGACCACCACTAGGGGTTCGATTCTCGGCCCCGTTTGAATTCGACGGGGAATCGATCGAAGGGTGGGAAGGATGGTAGTGAAAACAACCTAAAGTTATGTATCCAAATATTTGGGACACACGCGAGGGTGTTACGAGGGGACCTGTGGTAGTGGCGGCTTCAGCTGACTGCCACTGTTAATCCGTCGTCCATGTAAACCTTATCTTATTTGTTTTTATAATTACACGCAACCGAAACGAAGGGGTTACACAAATTCCGCAATTGTGATAACTTGATAAGATATTTTATACTTCTCTTTTATATACTATGATACTCTAATGACCTTTTATACACCTCACTCGATTTAGGTAATCGAATCGTCACTTTATTCGATTAGCTGAATCGAATAAAACTTTCACTGTCAAAAATCAAATACAATTCAAATTTCTACTATCTTTGTATCTAATTTACATTAGTAAAACAAAGCTTTAAAAAAATAAAATAATAGTTCCAATTACTGAATTATTATTTTATTTTATTCAGTTCGACCACTGTTATTTGATACTAGCTGTGCCCGCAGTTTCATTTGCGTGAAATTTATAGCCTATATGTTATTTTGCTGTATAAGCTATATTATAATAAAGATTCATCAAAATCCGTTCAGTAGTTTTTGCGTGAAAAAGTAACAAACATTTATCCCCATCCATCCATCTACACTCACAAACTTTAGCGTTTATAATATTAATAAGATATATAAATTAATATTTTTATTTCACTTTGTTGGATTACGAATCCATATAAATTAATATATAAAAGAGAGAGCGGACTGTAAATAATAATAATAATAATAATAATAATAATAATTTATTTGCTTAAAAAACACAGTATAAAGAAAATAATTAATATAATAAAGAAAATAATTAATGGAAAAGGAAGTAAAAATACGATTTCACTTCCTTATACGATTA